ATTGTTGCTTTAGGTCACAGAAGAGCCAGCCCTAGCCTGGCTGTTGGCTAAATCTCCACAGGCTGAAGAGGCCCCCAAACCACTCTGTGCAGGGGATTTAGAGAAACAGCACTGTTTTGCTTTTCCCCTTTTGGGGGATAGATGCTTAAGTAAACCTTTATCAGGTCATTGGTTGACCTCAGAGATAAGAAAACAGGAACAGCACCCCACACAATAAACCATCTGAACACTGTAACAACAGTTTGAAACTATCATAAATGGATGCTTCCATTCCTTAACAAGCAGAAGTCAGCAGTCCTATGGAAATGTGAGGATTGTGTTTCATAAGTCATCAAAACACAGTACTCAGAATATTTAACTTCAACATAAAATACAAAACATACAAAGAGACAGGAAGCATGGCCCATTCACAGGACAAAGGGACTTGTCAGAACCCATCCCTGAGAAAGCCTGGACATTGGAACTATTAGTCCAAGATGTTAGTTCACCTGTCTTCACTGTGTCCATTGAACTAAAGGACCCACGGTCAGTGACATTAAGGGAATCAGAAAAACAATGTGTGAACAAAATTAGAGAGAAATTATGATAAGGAGCCATAGGCGAATTCTGGTGCTGAAAAGAACAGTCTCTGAAACAAACAAGTCACAAGCAGGCAGAAGAAAGGCCCAGCAAACTCAGAAGATGCAGAAATTATCTGCTCTGAGTAGCAGAAAGAAAACAATGAGACGAAAAGGAACAGCAGAGGAGGGACTTATGGAACCCCAAGAAGAGTACGCAATATGGAATCTCAGAGAAAGAGGGGAGAACGAGTTTGAAGAAATAATGGCCCAGCCTTCCTTATATGATGAAAGGCTCAACTAGACACATCCAAGAAGCTCAACCCAGTCCAAGCAGGCCAAGGGAAAGAGATCCATGTGGAAACATATTGTAGTGTAGTTGTCCAAATACACAGAGATGATCTGGAAAAATAGTGTGTGTGTGTAGGGGGAGGGGGGAATTGACCCATCACATATAGAGGATCCTGAATAAAATACATAGCTCATTTCCATGCAAAAAGCATGGAAGCCTGACCATAATGAGGTGACACATTTAATCCAATGTCATGCCAGAACTTAGTCTATGAAAATGGACCTCTAAGAATAAAGGACTGGTCTGGGGTTGTAGCTCAGGGGTGGGGAGCTTCCCTCACATGTGAAGCACTGGGTTCAATCCTCAGCACCACATAAAAATTATACCAATAAAAGAAAGGTATTGTGTACATCTACAACCAGGGATATATTTTTAAAAAATGAATAAAGGACTTTTGCCCGGTGCAGAGGCGCATGCCTATAATCCTGGCAGCTTGGGAGACTGAGGCAGGAGGATCGTGAGTTCAAAGCCAGCTTCAGCAAAAGTGAAGTGCTAAGTAATTAAGTGGTACCCTGTCTCTAAATAAAATACAAAATAGGTCTGAGGATGTGGTTCAGTAGTTGAGTGCCCTGAGTACAATCCCTAGTACCCCATCACCCCCGCAAAAGAATGAAAGTCTTAAAAAAAATATATTTTGTTTTTCTTTATATGCAGTGCTGAGCATCGAACCCAGTGCCTCATTCATGCTAGGAAAGCAGTCTACCACTAAGCTAAACCCCAGGCCAGGGACTCTTAACTTATGTGCCAAAATTAAAAGTCAAAGTGTTTCTGAGATCTAAGTTTACGGGTCAAAACCATTATATCCCAGAGGTAATGATGGAAATCATGACCTTGGATAGACAGTGATGTCTTAAATTTGACACCAAAAGCACAGGCAACAAGAGAACACAGATTCAATGGATGTCATCAAAATTTAAAACTTCTTCACGTCAAAGGCATTTGTCTCACAAAATGAGAATAAACATTTAAAAATCCCTTATCTGATACGGGACTAATGTCCAGAATATCTAGTGGACTCCTACAACTCAACAACAACCATGACAACAGAACAAACAATCACTCCCAAAAGAACACGAACAGTCACTATCCAAAGACAATGCACGAACGGATTCAGAGAGAGAATGCTCAGTGCCATTGGTCGTAGGAAAATATAAAATGCCACTGCTTCCCAAGTGTAGGTGAGCATGAAGGCAGTTGGAAGCTGAGCATGGCTGGTGGGAATGTACAGTGCAGCCCTGGCTGAGAGGACATTTTGACAGCTGCTTGGAAGACTAAACAGAGGACCATCAGGTGACCAGCAGCCCCACTTGTAGGAAGGACCACAGGAATTGACAACAGGAGCCCAAACACTCTACTCCAGCACTCAGGGCAGTGTTACTCCCAGTAGGCAGGAGTGGCAGCAACCCAGGTGCCCATCAACACATGAAGGCAGAAGCAAAATGTGGAATGTTGTTTGCGTATATAAAGGGTGATTCGCTGATGCACGCTACAGCATAGATGGACCTTGACGGCATCCTGCTAAGGATATAAGCAAGACAGAGAAGCCCAAGTGTCATGAGATGCTACTTATATCTAGAGCAGACAGGTTCACAGGAGCCTGAAGTAGAATAGAGGGATGGGGCTGGGGGAGGGAGAGTGGCACTGGTGAGTGACAGGTGTCTCAGTCAGCCTCCTGCTGCTACAACAGGTGACTCCACACTGGTAACTTATGGCGAACAGAGCTGCTTGGCTCACTGCAAGTCCAAGGTTGAGGGTGTGGCACCTGGAGGGGCTTCTAGCTGAGTGTCCTGTAGCAGCAGCTGAAGGGCAGGAGAGGAAGGGACAGAGGGAGAGAGGAGGGGAGCAGGGGTGCAGCTGGAAGCACCCTTGTCTTTTCATAAAGAGGCTCCCCCTGAGGTGACAGTGTGGATCCATTCATGAGGAAGAGCTCCTGTCTTGAGGCCCATTGGGCTTTGTCCCCCAACACAACATGGGGCATCAAGATGCTATCTCATGAACTCTGTGACACATTTCAGCCGTAGCAATGGATACAGAGTGTCTGTAGGGGTGACAATGGAGCTCTGACATGGATACTGCTGCTGCTCACACAAACACTGTGAACGTCCTCACCCCATGGAACTGTTCATCCAAACATAGTTACAGGGACATTTTCTGTTATCTACATTTTGCCAAGAAAAAAAAGAAATTTGAAAAGCAACAAGTAAAGTGAGGCCAGGAGGCTGGGGTTGTAGCTGGGTGGTAAACCCACTGGCCTGGCATGTCCAGGCCCTCACTGGATTCCCCAGCAATGAAAAAAGAAAAAGAAAAGTCACTAGAAACCTCAAGTCAGAAAAGTGCACCAAGCTGGGGAAGTTCTCTAGCAGAGACCTGCAGCACAGCTGTCCCCAGAAGGAGGGGTCCAAAGGCAGTGCGGTCACCTGTCTGTGCCTGCAGTCTGGGTCAGGAGTGGAGACCCAGGTGCCCTCCGTGGGAACCAGAGCTCCCCAGAGCCTGAGCGCCGAGGCTTCCCCAGGACAAGGAGCCGCAGGTCCCACTCCTTTGCTCTTCCTCCCCGTGTGCTGTAGAGAGGCCCCAGGAACCTCACTGAGTCCTTCCCTGGCTGCAGGGGAGCAGGACTGAAGGCATGGGGACTCACAGCTGGCTCTTGCACACCTGCTCACCGTGCTCCAGGGTTGCTGTCTAGGAACCAGAAGTCTGTCCTCTCCCTGTGGATGACCTGGGTCCTGCATCCAGTCCCTCCTGTGCAGGAGGGAGCATGTGCCTCTGCAGGAGAGAGTTGGCCTCAGGGTTTGGGAGGATGCTGTCACCCACCAAGGACCTGCTGACCTGGCCAGCGCTGTGCCATGTTGGCCTTGGCAGTGTGGGGACACCTGACTTGCCAGCTTCGCTCTGAGCAGTCTTTAAGGGACTTGTAGGTCACACATTGAGCTAAGAGAGGGTGGTGGGAGGACTCCCCATTTTCCTGGGGGGTCTAATGTAAGCTCCTCTCCACCAAGTCAGTGGGCCTCTGCCACCAAGTGC